AATAAAAAAAAAAATAAAAAAAATAAAATATCATTTTAAAAAAAAAAAATAAAATAAATACTAAATTGCTGGAAAGGCATTTTTCCTCATAGTAATCCCATTGTTCCTTTCTGGTTGCTAATAAGTGCAATCTTGGCTTTACACATTTTTTGGGAAGAAGTTTGGGGAATTCTTTTAAGATTCCCCTTCTTGCAAAGCCAAAAAATTGTATAAATAAAAAAAATCAAGTACGTCAGCATCTAGGTGTTCTGTATTACGGAGCGACAGGTCTCAGATCATTCATTTCCAATTTGTCTTTTATAGTTCTGTTTTATATGTGATATCAGTAATATTTTAGAGAAGCAACTAAAGAAATAAACAATAATTTTATAGATAACAAAAGCAAATGTTCTGTATTTTCCCTTGTGCTTATGTACTATATGGTTAACACAGGAAAATCTCATTTACTAGAATAAAATAGTTTCAGTAAATCATTGAAACAAATGTTTTCTGAAAAAATAAGATTTTTATTATTTATCAAACTTGAAAATAGAGTATTTGAAATATTTTTACTTACTTTCATATATACCATTGTCCTTAAGAATATAAAGTTGTGAATTGAAATGTCAAAGGAAATTTTAATTTTTCTTTAAATCAAAGAGAAACAACCTTTGAAAACTTCTTAGTAATATCTATTTCTACTTGTTAAGATAAAGTATTGAGATGACTTGGAGCAAAAAAATTTTTTATCATGGGAAAAACTTTTGAATGTTCTTTGTATGGTATTAGCACATTTGTGGAAAGATAGGAAAGGTAAAACAGGGCACTCTTGGACTTGAGAAAGAACACTTGAGATATATATATATACATATATATATATATATATATATATATATATAGATACATATATATATATCTCAAGTGTTTTATATATATATAAAGTTTTGTTTTATATATATATATAAAGTTTTTATATATATATAAAGTTTTGTCTACATAACACCTTATTTTTGGGAATTGTACTACAATTTCTAGAAAATGCCCTTTCTATCCATGTGGGTACAATGGTGACTTCCATGTTTATTCATGTCACTACTTACAATTAAACACTTGGCCCCAAATAGGCTGTTCACAATTCCCTAATGTTTGAAAGTTTGATGTGGGAAGGGTCTTGGACCCAGAAATAGCAAGGTCAGTTTCCTGGGTAGTCAAATTCTCGAATGTAAAACTCTGAATTTTCTACTGTATAAAAAAATTCTCACTAGTAACTGAGAGGAAAAAAATGGAAAGATGCAGAGGTAAAAAATAAATAGATAGGGATGATCTTTGACAGATAAATAGATAAAAATGTGCAATATGTATAGATAAATAGATATAGACATATCTATATCTATATAGATATGCCTATCTCTATCTGTCTATATATCTAGAGACCAAATTTTGAGTGAAATAAGTCAGACTCAGAAAAGTAGTATGTTTTCTCTCATACATGGAATCTAAAAAAGTAAACAAAATAAACAAATAAAAAGGGAGACCAGTAGGGTAGAAGGGGACTTAGGGAGACGGACAAAAGAGGGTGAGGGTGTATGGTGAGTGAAATTAATCAAATTATGTTTTTAATGTATGCATAAATATACCGCAGTGAAACCCACTATAGTGTATAATTAATATGCTCAAATAAAATAATTTAAAATACTCATTTAAAAATAAAACAAATCCATTTCAACAAAAAGAAAAAAAAGATGATTTTGAAATCAAATACAGCTTTTCTCTGAAATCTTCAATATTTGTCTATATTTGCTCCATTAACTAACAGGTATTATTTTAATTGATTCATTTTTATAATTGGGTACAATTGTTTTGGGTTTCTATTACTTTCCTAAAAGAATCTTAACAATGACACCGAATTTATCTACATACTTCTTGGTACATGGGGCTTTTTATCCCTGGGAATGATGGGTAAATGCGCAGAGTGGAAACAGCTTCTTGAAAAAGAAGGGATGGAAGTCATTGCTACCTTTTTCTGTGAGGGATAGCATTACTGAAACATTTCTGTTGGATTGAGATGGATATTCAGAAGTCAGCTAGCAAGAAAAAAAAATGGCTTAAAGGAGAAGGGAATTTGAATGCCTGACCTACGTATGTCAATAGGTAGGCCATGAACAAAACATGGGGACTTTCTAGCACCACAGACAGTCCTTTGGAATAAAGACTGTGTGTGCAGGTTGGGGACCAGAGTCAGTGGGCTCACTAAGATACAGTGGGGGCTTAAGCTCAGGGTGGGATAACTGAATTAAATATAAGCATAATAATGAGAAAAGATTTGTCTTATAGTTTCTTTTTAATTCTTGAAAAACTACAGTTAAATTAGTGACCTGAGCTGGTACAATAGTGGAGCAGTGTGGCATCACATCACACGAATCCTCTGCCCTCACCAGCAGTGAGACAGCAACACAGCCAAGCATAAGAGAAGGAAGACCATGCAAAAGACAGCTCACTGCCTAGATTATCCGCCTGTGTTCTCTGCAAGATGACTGTAACTGGGACTAATGGCACCTAGGACTAAAACCCTGAAAGTTCGTGAGCCTTAGTCAGAAGTGATAGTTGAATCAAGAAAGAACTTTTCTCTTAGTGTTATGATAGGGACTGGTCATTTGAATTGATATCCAAAGGTTATATATTAGTTACAAATGTTGAAATTAGGATGCATGATTTGACACAGAATATAGTTACTATTTTACAAGCCAAATAAAAAACCAGGTAGAAAAAGACTACTAGACATCCATTAAAATATTGTAGCATTTGCCTCTAGGCAATGTAACTAGGTGTACTTTTCTTTTTCCATTTACTTTTCTATTTTAAAATATTGTATAATCAACATGCATAACCTAGAATGGGAAAAAAATTAATTTTTTGAGTGTAGCATGCCATTTAAAATCAGTACTTTAATAGCTAAATTATAGTTTTCTGAGAAAAAGTTAATGACATTTACATTTAAATGACTATGCATTATGCATACCACAAAGGAAATATTCTGAAAGTAAAATATGATATGTGATTTTGATGATATGATTGCTTGCCAAATTATGCATTATACTATTTCTTTTCACAAATAAAGAAACATGTGCATTTTAATCAGTATTCTCTATGAGCATGGTTCTGTCAGTGTACCTTTTGGCCAGGATAAAGTCTGGTCATTATTGAATTAACAAATTGTTTTAATAAGGGTTTGCTATAGTTTATGCAACTATGATGACATCATAGTTAGGTTTTGTGGATCCTTAAAAGTACCATTCATTGTTAGACAATAATAGCTGTCAAATTAAAAAAAAATGTTGTTAGTTGTAGGTGGACACAATATTATTATTATTGTTATTATTATTATTATTATTATTATTATTATTATTATTATTATTATTTTGTGGTGCTGAAGATTGAACTCAGTGCCTCACACATGCTAGGTGAGTGCTCTACCACTGAGCTACAATCTCAGTCCCTTAAATTTATTCCTGAAAACAGTTTTTAGTGGCAGAAAAGCAAATTGAAAGTGTTTAAGTGAAAAGGAAATTTTTTGGTCTATATAAATAAAACGTCTATGGCTACATTCATCTTTATAATTTTTTTAATCAAGAAGATCCTCTTTTCTTCTTTTTTCTTCTTTTCTCCTCCTTTTCTTCCTTTCTTTCTCTTCCTCCTCTTTCTTCTTTCTTGACTGTGCCAACTACAGTCTCTGACTTTCCTGCCCCTTATGCTGGCAATGTGGCTCTACTACATATTTAGAGCTACTGTTCATGGAAAGAGCATAGTTCTTTTCTCCAAGTATATGCATAAAAGCCCATGGCTTAATTCTCATTCCGAATCTGATATAAATCCATCTCTGAAAATTTCACTGAAACAAGAAGGAAGATATAGTGCAGATTAGCCTAGGTTATGTTAGGATGACAAAACTACCAAACCCCAAGGATTTGTAACAATAGTCTTTATGTCTCACATATACTGTGTGGCCATCAGAGGTAGGCTGCCTCTCAAAACGTTCTCACTCTAGGATGTAGGCAGATGGAGCAAGTACTGGTTGATTGCTGTTATAGTGGTAGAAGAAAGACCGTTGGATGGATCCATTAGCAACAAAATGCATGGACTCAAAGTGACACATCTATCTTTCCTATACAATTAATTATCCAGAACTAGACATATGGTTCCACTGAACCACAGGGGCCAGGACATGCTAGGAATGTTTCTTTTGAGTTGTAGCACATTTTCCACATCATGTACTATGAACAAGGAGAAATTGGATATTTGGTGAACAGCACTGATGAATGCCAATTATATTCACTCCAGGATCTGGGGATGGGGTCATCTCATCACACTTGGGAACCTATAGTCTCCCACAGAAAAATTTAAACTATTGGTAGAAAAAAAAGTGAATAGTTGCTTCCAGAAAAAAAAAAAGTCAACATTATACTTAATTAACTCAATTTATGGTAAATGACCAAGGTTCTTATTGAGTCAACCTTCCTGTGTGAATAAATTAACTACCAGGGGTTAAAATTTTACCATCTCTGTGGTTATAATCCAACAGCCAAAAGCGAAATATTTTTACCCTACTCTTGATTTTAATTTGGTTTATCTCCTGAAATAACCAATAAAGATTTTTCAAGGCAGATATTTTAAATCTTGTGCAATTAGTAGTCGCTAGGTACTAAGACAGCTAAATCTGTTAAACTATGGTGGATTTAAGTCTACAACCCCAAAATAGATGTGCTCCTAAAAGAGATGTGGGATTCATACTTGTATCTTCATTCTTGTACTTAGCTAGAATGTTTCTATTCCCTTTTGAGTTGTAGCACATTTTCCACCTAAGACACTCAGCATCCAGGACTTTCCTTCTTTTGGCTTTGAGGAACAGATAACCTCTCAAATGAATTCCAGAAAAAAATTATTATAATGCCACAATAGTTAAGCTCTAATTTTCCCATCTTGAGGATTTTTGCATCTCATTAATCTTCTACTTTCTTCTGTAGCATCTATTTTCCTCTCTTAAATCCATTAATTTCCATCTCCAGCGCACTACAGCTGAAGGAAGGTAACAAGTTACATTCTCTGAGCTTCTTACTTAATTCCAAAGAAAGAGAATAAAACTGGCTGATGTTAGAAGTTGATCTACTGTTAAACCACTTCTGGTTGGTGAGAAGTATCATGAGGCATTTACAACTGCTCCTTTCAGGACCTTTGTTTGACAGGTTATGTGAGAAGAAAAATTATGCAAGAAAGCTAACTGACTATGCTTGATTAGATTGAGGCTATTAATACTACTTCTTATACTCACTACAGTTATAAGTGATTTATAATTATACAAGTATCACTTAAACCTAAGATGTAGGTAATACAATTATTCTCATGTTATAGACACGAAAACTGGCATATAGGCACACCAAATAAATTCCCATGGTCATTTGTGAATAAGAGGCAAAGCCACTGAAGAGTTGAAACTGGGCAGTTCCGTAACAGAATCTGTGGTGCTATGTGTTACACTGCATGACTACTCTTGGCTATTCTAAAACATTTGGTTTATATTAGGAAGATCATTAATGATTTCAAGAGTTCCCTTTTACCTCTTTTGCCAGTGGTAAAATGTTTCTCATTCTCAAAATCTCATTTTTAAAATCAGCATTTTCACTTTGCAAGCTTCCCTGAGCATTTCACATCTGCTCCTAAACCACTATCTACCTTCCTTTAATTACCATACAGATCACCTTGTAATCAGATAATCTTTTGATGCCATGTGCTTAGGTAGGCAAGGGCTGTATCTACTTATCTTTGTATTCCTGGTGTCTGGTGTAATTACTGGAACATAACATATACTTAATGGATTATTATTGAATTATTCACTTGATGAAAGAATGAATGCATTATATATGGTGTACGTTAAATAAAATTTACCAATTTCTCTTCTGCTGCCTTTATATAGGACAAAAAGTGCTTCCACAAGAAAACTTGGGAACAATACCTGTGAATCTTTGAAATTACTGGGATACAGAAGCCAAGACACTGGTTGGTTTGGGCTTGATGATGTTGTGGTGAGAACCATCCCGAGTGGCTTGATATCATTTGAATTGCATGAACATTTAGAGAGGTAATATAGTACTAAATGATTGGAGTTGATTTTCTCTCCTGATGGTCTATCTTTGATGTTTGTGGAAATCCAATCACAGGATTGGATTTTAATTCCTCAAATAAGAATAAAAATCCCTTTAAAGATCTGCTTAAAATATAAACTAGAATTGACATGAATATGCTGTTTGTAATTTCTTTCATGATAGTTTAAAACAAGTGCTTTTGGAAACCACTCATAACTTAGATTTCGTTTTATAGGTTTCTTTCAACTCCAGAATACTTTTAAAATAGCATCTTCGTTTCTGAAATTCACGGGGATAATAATTAACTGTTCATATCTATGCTCATCTCATAACTATGTATAGATGAACTGAATTGGTTATTTCAGTGCCCTCATTTTGCTTTCTCATTTCCATGTTTTCTAGACGGTCCATTGTGAGGAGCATTTGAATCAGTTTTAAGGTTCATGAGGAGTAGACACTCATGAAGAGAGGGCAATCACCATCTCTAAAGATAGCCTTTATTTTATAATGAAAACTTTACATATACAATTATCTTGGATCAAAATTCTGTAGAAAAAAAATTCTAAAAGTGCAATTTATTTACTGAGGAGCCTCTTAGGCCAGTCTTGTAAGGAAATGAAAGGAGGTAGAGCCAGGGAAGAAGATAGGAAAACTCTGGTTCCAACTGAAGTCTTTCCCCAGCTGATACCTCAGGAGGGCTCTGGAGTACCAGGGGGCTTGGCTCTGTGCCCTCACATCAGTCAGTCCTTGTCTGTGGGAGAAGGCTTCTCTGAATTAGGGGCAACTGGAGGGCAACTTCTGGAAATTAACTGAGAAATGACTGGTCTAACCTAGGGTTATGGGTCTGTATGAGTTTTCTAGTGCTGCTGTAACAAAATACCACATTCTGGATGACTTGAAACCTGGAAATTTATTGTTTCACAGTTCTAGTGACTGGGATTCCAAAACCAAAATGTTAGTAGGTTTTTTTTTCCTTCTGAGCACTGTGAGGAAAGGATCAGTTCCAAGGTTTTTATTGTCTTATAGATAGCAATATTCTTGTTCACATGGCGTTCTCTCTGTATGCCTTCCTGTGTTGAAAGATCCCCTTTTTGTGACACCATTTATATTGGGCTAGGGTCCACCCTAATGATCTTGCCTTAACTTGATTACCTCTGTAAAGACCCTTTCTCCAATTAAATTTACATTTTAAGCTAACTCTGGGTTAGTATTGCAACTTACGGATTTGAGGGTGGGGCACAATTCAACCCATAACAGAATTCATCATAAAAATTCTTACCACACAGGGGCTGGGGCTGTAGCTCAGTGGTAGAGTGCCTACCTTGCACGTGTGAGGCACTGGGTTCCATCCTCAGCACCTCATAAAAAAATTAATAAGTAAATAAAGATATTACATCCATCTACAATTAAAACGTATTAAAAAATACTTACCACACAGAGATAGAGATGAATATTTCAGTTCCCACTTTATTATGGTATATATTTTCCATCCTATAAGGAGTAAATAGTTTATCTTAAAAGTATCTCTCTTCTATATTTTGAAGTAATACTTTGGTAATTCTAGTTAAAATATACTCATGCTCTGCTTAAAGACAGGCTATGTTCTGAGAAGTGCATAATTAGGTAGTTGTGGTATGATGTGAACGTCAGCATGTACTTAAACAACCTGTGTGGTATTGAGTACATCAGACCCAAGGCTGTGTGCTGTAGCCTACAAACTTGTAAAACAAGCTATTGTGCTAAATACTGCGGGCAATCTTGACACAAGAGTGCTTGTGTATCTAAATATATCTAAACAGAAAAGGTACAGTGCAAAAACAGTATAAAGATCAAAATGGTAGACTTATATAGGGCGCTTACCATGCATGGAGCTTGCAGGACTGGAAGTTGCTCTGTGTGAGTCAGTGAGGGTGTGGTGAGTGAATGAGAGAGCTAGGATCATATACTTTACACTTAGGCTGCACTAAATTGACAAAATAAATAAATAAATAAATAAATTAAAAACTTCACTAATGCATTAATTTGCTTACTATGACTATTTTTGCTTTATAAACTTTTAAAGTTGTTAGACTTTTGACTCCTTTGTAATAACACTTAAAGCACAAACACATTGTACAATTTAAAAAATATTTTCTTTTGTTATATCTTTAATCTCTAAGCTTTTTTCCTATTTTTAAAACTTGAATTAAAAATTAAAAAAAAAAAACTTTTGTTAAAAACTAAGATGCAAACACACATATTAGCCTTAATCTACACAGGGTCAGGGTCATCAGTATCTGACTTCCAACTTGGCATCATCATGTCCCCCTGGAAGCTCTACAGGAGCAATGAAATATTTGGAGCTGTCATCTCCTATAAGACAATGCCTTCTTGAATACCCCAAAGGAACCTGCCTGAATCTGGTTTATTGTTAGCATCTTTTATATAAATAAAATAAAATCACTCTTAAGTGCCAATAGAAAGTGCATTATAGAAATATATAAACCAGTGACATACTCATGTATCCTCATTATCAACTATTATGTAATTCACATATTGTATGTGCCATACTTTCATATGACTGTAAATGTGGTAGGTTTGTCTACACCAGGATCACCAAAAACACTTAAGTAATGTATTACATTATAATGTTAAGATGTTTGTGATATCACTGGGTGATAGAAATTTTTAGGTCCATTATTATCTTATGGGACCACAGTCGTATATGTGGTTACCATCAACCGAAACATTATGTGACTCATTATTGTATGACTTAAGGTATGATGTCATTTTTAGAGATGAGCCTGTATGACTTCTCTATTTAAGATCATGTTTTAGAATTTAGTTAGATCTGAGCTCATGTCTTGACTGCCAAGGATTTCACTAAAGTCACTCATGACTGTAACTGGATTGTCATCAGCACATCTGCTTTTAAGGAAAGTTTGGATGATAAGGGCTTTTTTAAAAGATATTGATCTATTACTAGGTATTGGTGAAGTTTGTGAGGCTGCACTTCCCCCTGTGGTCTTGTCCCTCTTCTTCTGTGCAGGTTCATTGTACTTCACCTCTCTTCCACTGTGGACAAGAGCCATTTGGTTTCCTTTGTGAAGTCTTTGGAGGATGCCTTGCTCAGCACCACTGCTTGCGTAGTTTTGTCGCACCAGAAGGACAATCCACACAGAGTGGTTGTTTTAGTGGTGCCTTCTAAAGATTTAAACCAGACACTTAAGGACTTGCTCTTAGAAGGATTTGGAGGACTTCCAGAGTCATCTCGTCATTTCCAAGTAAGAGAAGGAGAACAACTGCTTTTAAGGTTTACTGGAAACATATTTGGTTCAAGTAAGTATAGAGAATTCTCTTTAAGTCTTCTATCGTCTTCAAGCCACAAATTTCAGAAGGAGTTCCTTAAACTAGAATCACCAAGGAAACCTTCAGAGAATTGAGGGAAGCTTGCAGGAAGAAGGAAGAGAAAAAGACATACTTCTTCCTTTCCAGTCTCCTCTCTCCTCAGAGGATGCCTCTTCTTTTTTTTAGAGCTAGATTCTAAGTGATATTCTTTTTTAAAAATAATTTTTTAGTTGTCAATGGACTTTATTTTTATTTATTCATATATGGTGCTAAGAATCGAACCCGGTGCCTCACCATGCTAGGCAAGCCCTCTACGATTAAGCCACAAACCCAGCCCACTAAGTGACAGTCTTTTAGAAAGGGTCTTCTCCATGATGAATCTCCCAGTCCCAAGCTAGGGTCTTCTCCTTCCTGAGTAGCCCCCTCCATGCTCCTTTCTTAACTCTTGCCACATGCCATCTCTTTCCATACAGTAACTATGATTTGTTAAAAAAAAGAAAACATGAATCATAGTGGTCCCTGACTTATGATGGTGTGAATTGAAATTTTAGTCTTCATCATGGTAAAAAAGTTATATGCATTCAGTAGAAACTGAACTTGGAATTTTGAGTGTTGATCTTTTCCTGGTATAGTGATATGTCCTGTGACACGTCCTCTACTTGTGGTGCTGGGCAGTGAGCTGCAGCTCCCTGTTGGCCACTGGATTGTCATACTCTCTAGTGCACTGTCACTAAGCTATGGTGTTTGGTAAATTAAGTATATTTAATGCATTTTTCATTTAAGATACTTTAAACTTATGATGGGTTTATAGGGAAGTAGACCCATCATAAGCCCAGTACCAACTGTATATTACTTCTCTGATGAAAACATTTATTATTTTTAGTAGTAGTAGTAGCAGTAGTAGTAGTAGTAGGTATTGAACCCAGTGGCACTTAAACACTGAGACACATCCCTAGCCCTTTTATTTTTTATTTTGAGGTAGGGTTTCACTAAGTTGCTTATGGCCTTGCTAAGTTGCTGAGGCTGGCTTTGAACTTACAATCTTCCTGACTCAGCTTCCTGAACCAATGGGATAACAGGCATGCCCCACCATGCCCAGCTAAATCCTTATTATTACTCTCTACTGTAACTACAATAATATCCAAGCTTTTTAACATGCCTTAGAAGGAATTAAGTTTGGAGTCAGTGAATTATCAAGAAATGTGCAGATAGAACTATATTCCAGTGTAATGACATTATTGATTGTTCCATATATTTTATTTTATATATTTAAAGGATGACTCTCAGAAGGAATCTACAGGTTTCACTAAACTTCAAAAGGATCTGTGGCACAAGAAAGTTTAAGAACCTCAGATTCAGATGATACAAGCTGCTAACCTCCCATCCCCATATTTATGTAGTGTTATTTTTTTGTTCACATTATCAATTTTATCATAATTTGAAATTTCTTATCTATAGGTTTACTTTCAGTTTATATAACCATACTGTGTTCTTTGCTGGAACAGAATATCATGAGGCAATGAGCATGTCTGTCTTGCCTTATAACTTCTGAACCTGGTACATAGTGCCTGGTATGTCAACAGCTTTCAATAATTGTATAGAGAAAGAATTTTTTTCTCTAATTCAGGAAATGACTTCAGGCCCCAATGGGTCTTTGCTGCTTTAAAAAAATAATTGGGCTAGGGATGTAGCTCAACGTTAGGGCACTTGCCTACATGCCCAGGCTTTATCTCTGAGCCTCTGACTTATTGCATGAATGATAAGGATGTTAGAAACGGGGAAAGGAAAGAAGAAGAGGTAGAGGAATGAAGGGTAGGAAAAAACCCTTTGTACTCAGCTTTCAGAGCAGAAACCACCATATCCACGTAGGGAAATCTCTCTAATGAAAGATAGTCAAAAACCAGAAGTGCCCCACCCAAATAATGATGCAAATAATTTCCCTGTAATACTTGGAACAGCGTCTGTGTTTACATGCTGCTCTAAACAGGAGTTGGTTACTGTTCTCATAGGCAGGGGAACTGAGTGTCCTATTGTCTGCAATGGAATATGGGGTGCATGCTAAATTAATAGTGCGTGAAGTCAGCAGGCCCATGTACAATTCTTTCACATAGGTGAAGTCAAGGAGCTTATCTTCACTCAAAGAAAGTGAGTCAGGCAGGATGCCAGGATCTTTTCTACTTTGCTTTTCTTAGAAATCATGCTCAGACCTGAAACCTTACTGGACTTTTCTCCACCTAAGAGGAACAAGAACATCAGTAAAGAATACATATCTATCCTTCCATCAGAGCCTGGGGTATTCTGAGAATCTCAAAGTGATGAAGCCAGAGGATCTTTGCCTGGAGGGTTCTCCTTCACTTCCATCCCAATCCCTTCACCCTCAATTCTTTCCCACTTTATCTCTGTATCTCACCTCAATGGTCATGTTTAAAGATGTCTCCCCATCCTCCCTGATTATATCAGTCCTTACTGTTTTCAGAGTCTTATTTTACTTCTGAAGACCTTCACTTCTTCTTTTATGTCCCTTGTCACAATTTTCTATCTACTCATTTAATGACCAATGCCATTTTCTCTGATGGCAGTCCTATGAATAAAGGGGCTATTCTGCTGGTGCACACCATTCAGTCCCCAGCACCTAGGATAGTGCCTAACATCCAGAAAAGGCCTCAGTGAGTATGTGTTGGAAGAAACAGAGACAAAAGCTTGTAGAAAGATTTGACTTTATAGTGCTAAGAATGGTTCAAAGTATTTAAAACATTAGTTAACAAATTTAGATGACTATCCTTTGAGAAATGCCCACATTTCTCTTTTTTTTTTCACTTGTGAATAATACAGATGAATCATTTGAGTTAGATTTATGTCTATGCCTTCAAGGATAAAAGCTAGATAGATGCTTTTTGTGGTTTGGTATTGGTCTTTGTCATTCTGGACAGAGCTACAGGCTGCTTTCTTTTCCTGGGTTGGAGAGTCAGTTCAGCACTTAGACTTTATGTTGCATTGCACTCAAGCTCTGAGTGCACAGAAAACCCAGAAAGTGCTGAGAAGTGCTTTTGCAAGGTTTTATATAATGACACCTTAGCAACACCCCTAACAACTAGGGAATGCTCTGTGGAGGTCAGTGTCTCCTAAAGTTGCCCTAAATACCTTTTGACCCAGGAAAGTCATTTTCCTAGACATGTGTAAGATGCTTAAATAACCATCCTTTTACATATTTACCAAGTATTCTCTGCCCTCATATAAATTATAGGCTATTGAAGAGATATAGAGAAGAAGTAAATAAATGAATAAAACGTACTGCTTAACATGGCTGAAAAGTGTGTTCTGGAAGAATAGTATAGGGAAAGGATAAAGGGAGTCCTGGAAGAGTGGCAGTATTGAATTTTACATAGTCATAGGGGAGACCTGTTGAGAAAACAGCATTTACACAATGACCCTAAGCAGGTGAGAGAGTAAGCTGTCATCCTGTCTCAGGAGAATTTGTCCCCAGCACAAGGATTGTAACTGCAGGTGAGCAGAGGCAGAAATGTGCCTTGTGTATTTGAAGCCCATTAGGGCCTGGCATGGCTGGATCAGAGGGAGTGAGGAGAGATTGCAGGAAATAAAGTGAGGATTGATAGTGCCCTGAAGGCCCTTGACAGGACTTTGCCTTTTATACTAAGTGAAGTGGGGATCTGCAAAGGATTTTCAACAAAGGAGTGGCATAATTTGAGGGAGATTATGACTGAGTAAGGTAAGGGGTAGACACAAAGAGGTCAGTTAAGGAGCCACTGCAGTTAACTGAGCAAGTAAACTGAAACTTAGAGGTAGAGGTCATAGAGGATGGCTTGGATTATAGAAATAGCTGAGCTAAGGCTCTTTATTAGGATTTTTTGGGGTTCCCCTTATTGCTAGCCCTTTTGTTTCCTCATCTGACTTTTCTAAGTGAAAGCATATATTTCTATGTTTGCAACTTTCTATAACATCAATGAAAAGCATTCAATTTCCATTATTAAGAAGAAAATATATTGCCATAAGAAAATATATTGTCATGAGAAACATCTAATCAGTTGCAAAATAGAAATGAATTTTGCTTAATGTGACAAGTATTTATTGACCAGCTGGTACTTCAGGGTCCTACAAGGTTCTACGTACTTTGTATGTTGAAAAAGAGAAAATGATTTTCAAAAAGTCAACTAGTGGTAGATTTCATGCTTTGGATATGCAGCAAATAATTCTCATTTTTTTCTTCTACTCTAAATGTGTCAGAAAAGGAAGAAAAATATGGAATAGTGAAATTTCTTCATACTATTTGTCCTTTTTTGCAGTGTTATACAACAATGAAACTCTAGATTTTAAAAATTTCCATGATGCTTTCTAATATTAGATCATTCTATTTATTGCTAGTAAACACTGATAATTTCATCCTGGTTTTATATGTAAATGTGATTTTTAGAGATTACTGATCTTTACTTTTAAAAACTGGTGATTAGAAGTATGTACTTTAAGATCTGAATTGAAACAATATAGCTATGACTCATTTTAAATTCTTATATCCTGTATATAAATAATTCCTTATGAATAATTGTGCACCTGGCAAGGAATATAATGTCTCTTAAAGGAAGGAAGGAGAAATCTACCAAGCAAGATTTTATTCGGATCAAAGTAATAATATTTTTCTTGATAGTACTTGAGTGGCAGGAAATAGAAGTCAACCAGCTATTACTTGAGTGATCTGCAAACTTTCATTCACAATTTAGATTATATTTTAATCACCCAGATAATTTATCTTATTTAAAAAAACAAAATAAAACTCTTGTAAGAAACAACCCTGGTTAGTCATTCCTTTTTTAGAAGTCTGTTTTGTTCACATCGCCAGTTTGCCCCTCAAATACAGACGTGTGCAAAGCTATCTATCTTTGCTTTCCCTAACCTACATATATTCTGGTTCTAGATTTAACTGTGCTTTAGAATTTCATCAAAATGGCATCTAGCAGTCACAATAGGAGAAGGACAGAGGTGTCTTCTCCTCTACCACTGAATTCTTCTTCTTTTATTGGGCAAAATGAAAGAAAGGTCTTCTGTGAGAGCTCTGGGTAATCAGCTATATTATGGCCAACAAAAGAAGTTCCAACCCAGATATTAAAGCTTCATCTTGATATTCTTAACAAAAAAATGTAAGGGTTGATTTTTAAGCATTCATATGAAAATAATAGAAGCCTGCTTCTTATTGTTTGCTGTTTTTGCTACTGTTTATTCAGCACTTAGTCTGTGCTAGGCCCTTTGACAATCATTATATATATTTTCTCATTTCATCCCAGAATTATCCTACGAGATAAGTTTATTTTTCTTGTTTTAAAGAAAAGGCAGTTAAGACACAAGAAACTCAGAGGCATAAAAGAACTTTGACAAACAGTGTAGTGTAGACTAATGGTGGCGGCTGGACTTGACTCCAGATCTTTATGTCTAAAACATGTTATTTTATCTGCCATATTATAGCTTCCTATATATTTTGCAAAAGGTAATAAAGCTACCTTGGGGAATAGCAATGTTCCTTTTGCTGTTGCAATATCAGTGTAAAATATCCACATTGACATGGTAAAACTCCCATAAGTGAAAGGTTGTGTTCAGAAACATGTCAGTGTTTTCACTGAGGAGTTGAGAGGAAAACATAGATTATTGTTTTAGGAGCATCCACTACATTTTTTGTTTGTTTGTTTTTACAAATTTCTTATAAATTTTTCAACACAAATACCAAATTATCCCACTTGGAAGTTCTGAAATAGCATGGTTCATTCTGAAAATAAGAAAAGGTTTTATATCTGTGCTATTCAGTGAAGTAGCCACTTAGACATGTGTGGCTACTGAGCATTTTAAATGTGGTGAGGAGTGTAATTTTATACTTTCTTTAATTTTAATTAATTTTCCTTTAAACCTGAATAGCCACAGTTATAGGAGAGAGTGCAGTACTAGAAAGTCTATTGTGAGGTTATGATGATGTACAACACGGTATGAACAAGATAAAGGACAAAGGTAATTCTTGAGACTGAAGATAATTTTCTAAATACTGAAAGAGCTGAATATTTCTAATAGTTCCTTGCTATAGCAAAAGGGGAAAAAACAAAAAAGAAAAGATTTTTAAATCTAGAAATAGCCAGAGTACCTCGCCTACCAACAAATGAAACATTCTTCTAGTGATAATCTGTTCTTAACCTATTGCTGCTTTTCCAAGTTATGTTTGACAAGATGCAATGATACGACAAGAAACTTTAATTATATGTAGAAATTGGATGAATATTTGGGTTTTAAAAATTAAGACAAAGTGATATATCTTAATGGTAACGAATGCATTTTACTTCCATTTAGGCAATGGGAAGGATTATGGAAAAGAATACAAACTTATTTTTCACTTGCAAAGAAAACCCAGGCTGGAACTCCAAATCAAAGAGGTGGATGAATTTGGAAACTACAGCTGTCCCCATTATAAGGGAACCATTGTAGTTTATAAAGTACCTAAGGAAAAGATAGTTCCCAACCTGGACCAATCTCTCATACTTAATGAAAATCATTATGAGTTGCCAATTTGCAAATTACCATTGAAATTGCCAAAGGTGAGTTATTCTACTTTCCTCGATGCTGTATTTTGTTAATTCTTTGTAATTCTCTATCACAGTCAGTTCTGCAGGCAAATGAATATATGAGTTTTAAAGAAAAATAAGAATAAATCTCAAACAGAAGGAGTAGGTAGGCCCAATGTTAGAGTGGTAAAATATATATTAGGATTGATTTTTTTCATATCAGTTTTTCTGACAGAGCAATTCAAATTAATCTGTTTCTCACAGTATGTTGTTAATGACTATGGAAATAATGTTATTCATTTTCTGTAACTACATCTGACTAGCTGGGAAATCATTTATGAAAACATTGAATACATTTAGGAGTGTATCACTTTAAGGAAAAATTACATTGATTGGGAAATGGAATCAAATATTTTCACTGAGCCTTAATAAATCCTGTGTGTTTATTTTGTGAGTTAATTACTCCTATGTAATATTGTTACTGTTATCAGAAAGTGGGGTTGAATTATTTATTCAAACACATCAAACAAGTAAATACATTATATTTATTCAAACATCCAACATACAAATACATGCATTTTCTTTAATTGTATACAATTTATTTATGACTTAGTGTATTTATACTATATACTTAATGGGAAAAATAACTGAAAATTTCGTTTGATTACTCCCTATAAAGAATAAAATTCTTTATTCTTTAAAGAAAACTATTTTTTCAGTTTTTACTTTTTATGTCATAAATAGCTGAAATGTTTTCCTCAGATAGATAGTCCTACTTGTAAATGAACCAGTAAAATAAGTAACTAATTAATGAATATTTTAAAAATATTTTTGGATACAATATCTTTATTTATTTATTTATTTTTATGTGGTGCTGAGTATCAAACCCCATGCCTCACATGTGTGAGGCAAGCACTCTGCCACTGAGCTATAATCCCAGCCCCTAACCAATAAATATTTTTAATTGAGTTTCTGGAACAAGGAATATACTAGGCATTATGATAAATACAAAGCTATAGGAGATAATATATGACCTAAAGCTGATTGTCTCAATTGGTAGCTACTAGCTACATGTGACTATCATCAACCACTTTAAATATGGCTATTCTGATGTGAAACGTGCTGTAAGAGTAAGAAAAGCACCAAATTTTAGACTTAGTACAAAAAAAAATTCATTTAAAAATTACTTCCTATTGATTATGTGGTAAAATTTATTATTTTGGTTATATCAAGTTATTAAGTGTTATTAAAATAGATTCCATTTATTTACTTTTTTAATGTGACTCAAATTGCACTTATATGGGGCAGAATTATTTGATATTAATTTGCAACCCAACTGAGCATGCAAAATATGTATACAGACTTACATAAAAGTTCCTTGTTATACTAATGTATAAGCAATGCATTAGCAGTTGTTCACAGGTGGGAAATGGCTTCTCTGGAGGCTAAAAGTTTTGTAGTGATTATGGCATTTTATCGGAACCTTGAAATTTGTTAGAAATTTAATAGAAAAAAAAAGCAAGTCAGGGTGAAGGAAATTCATACTTCATGTGAATACCATCATGGTTTCAAATATGCCAAAGGTCTTTCAAATGCTTTACATGCATTCTATCATTAAATCCTCAAGAAAATCCTATGAGGCATTTTCATTGTTCTCATTTTATAAGAAGTTGAAATAGAAAATTTTTAGGCACATTGTCCAGGGTTCTGTAGCTAAGTCAGTGGCAGAGCTTACCATTCAAACCCAGGAAATCTTCTTCACCTGGATTTCACAATCATGCTGTTGCCTCCTTAGCAGATAAAGGTAGCAGATAAAGGTATTATCTCAGTCAAAGTTACAGGACAGAGTTGAGGGTTTCTAGATTCATCCTTGAAGTTATATGACAATACAGTATACCATGCTTTAGTTTGGAGATGATGTTAGAAATATTTAACAAATGATATGATATGGACACCAACCAACCAAATTGAAACCAACCAGGGAAACAGGCTTCTAGAAACATTAACTTCTTATGTCCTGGTTTGAAAAAGATCTTGGGGTTCCTGCAAGGCATGTTAGGATGGCAGAGCCAATTGAAAAACATATTATTCATAATTGTATAGCTATATAAGAGTATACCCATGATCAGTTTTGTTTCTATGAGTTTTCATTTGCATATAGGGCACTATTTACTCTGATAGTCACAATGTTGGCTCTTTCTTTTTTTGGAAATTTTATAGTTGATGTGCTTATTTATTTTTGGCTTTATTTTTAGTTGACATTATAATTGTACATACTGGGTTGGGGATGTAATTTAGTTGTAGAGAATATTCTTAGCATGTGTAAGACTTTGGCTACAATTTTCAGCACAAAAAAAGCATATGTGTTTTGTGTGTTATAGTATGATGTTTTGATATAGGTATACAATATGTAATGATCAAATTAGGCTAATTAGCATATCCATCATCTCAAATATTTATCTTTTCAAAATGGCTAGAAAAGAGGATTTTGACTTTTGTAGGTGGTTCTTTTCATTCAGATTTCAGCTCACATTGTTGTTATCTTTATTCTTCACCTTCTTATCCAAAGTCACTCTTTAACCTGTAATCCTCTTTAGATTTATTTCCTGAAGGTCATTTGTAAGTGGAATGATTAGATTTATAATTTGTTCACATATTTTCTGTCTGCTTTTGCTCCCTGAGAAAGCAAAGTCCATGAGTGAAGGACCTGGTCTGTCCTTCCCCATGGTCGATCTCTCCATCAGTGATGAGAACTGTGCATGGGGAATTCAAGAAATAGTCATTGAAAGGACTATTCCAATTATTTCTGTCAGTAATTTGGAACCTGTTTGTGCAAACCCTCCACTGGAAGGCTAATGAGTTGACTGGATCAACATAAAGATTTGGAGTGGAGAAGTATATTAGAGCTGCTCTGGAGACAGCTCCACTGGGCGTAGGTCTTACAGAAAGCTCTATGTTCCATTTCCATGGGATGTTTAGAGGGAGACATGACTGGGGCTGGAATTCTTTGGCAGATAGTGTTCAAGGCCTTACTGTGATGATGGCAGACAATTTAAAGAAAGGCCCCAATGTTAAGAGAGAACTGTCTCAAAGTCCAAAACTGTGACACAAATTCAGCTCTCAGTTATCTTTGTTTTCTCTGTGGCTTATCTGACTTCATGAATTAGCCAAGCTAGAGAATTAGCCAAGCTAGAGAATTAGCTGAAGTAGCCAAGCTAGTCAATTTAGGGGTATATATATAGATTTTCTTTGATGAAAGTCTTATGAGTGATGTGTCAGGGAATTTTCACTAGTCTTTTCTCTGTTTGATTCTGGCACACCACTCCCCACCCACTTGCCTGGGTAATTCCTATTGGCCCTCCCTTACACCTCTTCTTAAGTGTGACCTCTCCTGGGATTTCCCCTCTGTTTTTGTTTTTATTTTTATGTGGTGCCAGGGATTGAACCCAGTGTCTCACTAATGCTAGGCAAGCACCCTACCACTGAGCCATAACCCCAGCGGGATTTCCCCTCTGTACCAGGTTAGGTGTTGCTGGTACATGCAGTCACAGCATTCTATAATTCCTCTGTTATTTTAGTTATTGTGTTTCATTATAAATCACATGCTTATTTCCTTCCTAATGGACTAGAGTTTCTCAGGCTTTTAAAAAAATTTTTTATTGACTTCCTTGGGAGTCATCTTAGATTTTGTATTCTCTAATCACCTCTCTCCATGAAAATTTAATACCAAAGAAATACTGTGTATCTGATTATATACTTGATGTGCATCCATGCTTTAAACATTAAGAGTAAGTTTCTTCTTGTTCTCACCCAGAACAAAGTTTCTTTAAGGGTGTCACCTTCCCAGTTGAGCAGGTGTGCACGGAGAGTAAAGATCCACACCTGGTCCTGCTCCACTTTGCATAGTGTGTACCTGATGAATATTTGTGAATGACTAGATGAATGCGCTAATTTCTACCAGTCTTCAAAGTATCCAACCTTGAAGTTGATAATCTTGAAACTATATTGGCACATTTAAAAGTAGTACATTTTCAACATCTGCTACTTCTCCTAGATGAATCCACTGCTGATATGCCATCTGTACTTTCCTTTTCTCCCAGATGGGTTTGCACAGGGCTTTCCAGATTCACTCCCTCAGCCCTTTCTTGTGCCCAAAGTGTTCACAAAAAAGGTTTGTCAGGGTTGAGAAAGAATTTTGTGGCTGTGGAAACTTTTTTTTCCTGTTTTATAGCTAGCATACCTAAACAGGAATTGAAACCATGACCTTTATTTTTGTGAGGACATACTTCTATAAAGTTCAGGATTGAAAACTCCTAACTCAGTTAAGCAATATTAGAATGTACAATTTTTTAGGAACTGGAGCTAGCCTTATTATAGCACCTTGCTAAAGATGAACACAGCTTTATTTATACATTTGTACATGTAGCATAAATTAGGTGAAGGTATTTATCAAAACTAAAAGTTCTTTATAACAGAAGAAAACTAGTTGATATTTTTTGCAGTATAAATGCTGTTGTTTAACTTTTCCATAAATAAAAAACGATATCAAAGTGTTAAACATAGAGCAAATTCAATTCAAACACATTTTTTTTTCAAAACTATCCAACTTGAAAAGATGCTTGTATATAAACTTTCACCCCAAACAAGGCAATCTCTGTAACTCGGTAAAGATCTGGAGTACTGATGAGATTGTTTACAGAGTAAATACAGGTTCAAGTTATCTTTTGTCTGTAAGTTCAAAGGTTTAAGAAAAGAAGATGGGGATATAGCTCTGTTGGTAGAGTGCTTGTCTAACATGTACAATCCTCAGCACAACTAAACAAACACAGAAACAGACTCTAAGGAAAGTTGAGAAATAAGCATCTCAAAGATATTATTGTAGGTCATTAGGCAATAATATTTTTTGCCCAGAAAAAACTTTTACTTATTATTACACTTTTATTTATTATTCTATAAAAGTAGTAAATTTGTATATTTGTATACACACACACACATTAGCACACACATAATTACAAGGTGTGATGTTAATGTGC